GCTTCTAATATATTTTTTAAATAAAAGCTCAGATGGAAAAGTTAAAGTTCATGCTGATATGTTTATTTTTAATGATTATAAGTCTGTGTGTGCTGGTCTAGCTATATAATTAGAAAGCTTTACTCTACATTACATGTGCCATCATTTGAAGATGACTTCAGTATCTACACTCAGTGTTGCGCTTAAACAATCAACAGTCACCATGTTAGTGTTCCTGAGGCTGAGGCAAGAGGGCTGCAAACCCACAGGCTTCAAACAACAGAGCTGCACTCTCTAGAATTGAAAGTTGCCAGCCTGTCAGCAAGTGCCACACTCCCTCCAAAGTCTCAAGTGAAAACTCCTACCTCTGCCTGAGTCTCCAGGCTTGCACAGCTCTGCCTTAGTCTCTGCCTGACTGTGTTTCTTCCAGTCTCTTCCCCTTGGACCAACACTTCATTGCTGACACTTATTAAGGAAGGCCTGAAACACCAGAAAACATAGTGTTTCAGGTCAGATTAAGAATTCTGAACTGATGTCATTCCTCCCAATTAGGGATAATCCCCGGGATAAATGTGAGCTCAATTAAAACCTTAAGATTTTCTACAGGCATTGTCAACATGAATCTAAATTCTGTGAGATAATGCAAAGATTTTAAAATGGCCAAACTCTCTGGAAAAGAGATCGTAGAACATTTCTATAGCTATAGTAGTCAAGACTCTCAGATCTGGATCTAAACGAAGACAACCAAGTCAACTGCACAAGACAATATTCAAAAGTGAACTTTTTAAAAAAATTAAAAACCTTTTTTATTTAAATTATAAACAAGCTTACTTCACATGTCAATCCCAGCTCCATCTCCCTCCCCTCCTCCCCCAGCACCCCTGCCAGCCCACCTAGGCCCCCACCTAATCCCCACTCTGCTCTGCAGGGAGGGTGAGACCCTCCATGGGGGATCTCCAGAGTCTGTCATTTCATCCGGGGCAGGGCCTAGGCCCTCCCACGTGTGTCCAGGTTGAGAGAGCATCCTTCAATGTGGGATGGGTACTCCAAGTTCATTTGTATGCCAGGGATAAATACTGATCTACTACTCAAGGCTTCATAGATAGCTTAGGCCTCCTCACTGACACCCACATTCAGGGGGTCTGGATCAGTTCCATGCTGGTCTCTCAGTCATCAGTCTGGGGTCCATGAGCTCCCCTTTGTTCAAGTCAGCTGTCTCTGCGGGTTTCACCAGCCCAGCCCTGGCCTCTTTGCTCATCACTCCTCCCTCTCTGCCATTGGGTTCCAGGAGTTCAGTTCAGTGCCAAAAGTGAACTTTTGACAAAGATTATAAAGACATTCCAAACAAGCAGCATTATTCTTCACAGTAATTGGTGCTGGAAAACTTTGATTCTGGTGTGTAAAAAAGTAGAAGTTTATTCTTTAAGAAAATTCTTTAAAAGAAATCATAGACTTAAATGTAAAGCCTAAGACTAAAATTGCAAGAAGAAAACAAAAATATATTTTTGCTGACAACAAATTAAGCCAAGATTTCTTATCACTGGCTTTAAACAACTGTTAAAAATAAAATTGGAAAACTCTCTTTGATAGACAAGAAAATGAAAATAGAGATTTTTCAAACTGAAAGAAAACACATTGTAAATCATTTATGGTGAAAGTCTTATATGCTAGATATAGAATCTTCAAAATTCAGAAATAATAAAACTGACACTCCAATATGGACGTCTCACCAAAGTACATAGACAGATGAGTAATTTCCTGGAAACACAGTCTTTACTCATTAAACCACAATGAAACTGTGTGATTTGTAAAAGACTAATGTTATGTGTTTTCAAGGCTAGAGAGCCACTTTAGGGATAAGAAATAGTAAAACTATTTTGTGAAAAGTACAGTAATTTCTTAAGAATTTAAGTATATTTTCCCATTTTTATCTGGCTATTCTGTTTCTATTTGTTCAAAGTAATGAAAGCTTACATCCACAAAAGTCATATATACTAGTGTCCATAGCAATTTCATATGTAGCAGCTCAACCGTAGGAACAAGCATGATGTCCTCCAAGGTGAATGGCTCACCAATTTGAGTCATGTCTCTATAAAAGTGGACATTTACTCCCCATTGGTGCACTCAGCATCATGGATAGAACTGGGAAGGATTTTACAGAGTGAAAGGAACCAGATTTAAAATGGAGCATGAGTGAAGTATGGATTTTAGACATGGATCAGGATAGTGCCAGTCTGCAATTCCACTGATAGAGAGTCTGGGAAACAGGAAAGAACCTAAAAGATATGCATAGCACCCAAGAGAAGAGGAAGGAGGCAAGATCCTCTGAACAGATGGGGAACACGGCGAGGGGGGGGAGTGGGAGCTGGGAAGAAGAGAGGGGGAGAAGAGGAAGAAAGAGTAGGTCATGGGGGAACAGGAAGGTTAAGTGTGGGGGGTAGAATAAGGGGAAGAGGGAATCATAGATTAGAAGACAGATCAAGCACCAGTGTGACCTCTAGTGATCTAAAGGGATGACACCAATTGGCAAGCTAAGCAATAGTGGAGAGACCACCTCGAATGCCTATTCCTGATAATGAACTTGATGTCTATAACCATCCGGGAGCCTTCATCCAGTGACTGATGGAAGCAGAGGCAAACACCCACAATTAAGCACTGAACTGAACCCATGGAACCCAGTGACAGAGAGAGAGGAGTGATGAGCAAATTGGCAAAGAATGGGCTGGCAAAACCAGCAGAGACAGCTGATCTGAACAGGGGAGTGCTCTTGGACCCCAGACCGACAGCGGAGAGGCCAGCATGGGACTGATCCGGACCCCCCGAAATGTGAGTGTCAGTGAGGAGTCCTGGGCAACCTAAGGGGCACTGAGCAGTGGATCAGTGTTTATCCCTGGAATACGAACAGACATCGTGTGTCCATAACACAAAGAAGGATGCTCTCTCAGCCTGGACTCTTAGGGGAGTGCCTGGGCCCTACCCTGAGTGAAATGACAGACTCTAGATATCCCCTATGTGGAAGGAATTGGCAATAGGGTGGGAGGATGGGGGGGGATGGTGGGGGGTGCGGAAGGAGGGGAGGGAAAGGGAACTGGGATTGACATGTAAAACAAGCTATTTAAAATTAAAATAAAAATTAAAAAAATAAAATGGAGCATGAGTATGTTGTGGCTTTCAAATAAAAAATGGAGTGTTGGTTTTAATATTGAGATGTGGGATTGATTACAAAAGAGACACAAGAAACTTTTTAAAAATTATTTTGATATGGTGACGACTTTCACAGGTAGACATTGACCAAAATCTATCACAGGACACACTTTAAGTACATGCATGTTAGTGCACATATAAATAGATGCATTAAAACACACATACATATGGACCTGATAAGGTGGGAAATTAGGAATTGGCCCGTGGGTTGAGGCTGAAGTTCTTACCTTTTATTTCTTCAGCGGGCACCTCCAAAATGAAATTCTAGTCAGCTTAAAAAACATCTAGACCTCTTTCACCAAACCAATTTCAGGCAGCAACAAAATAATTTGAGGGAAAGATTTAGTTATAAAGCGCACTTTAATTTGTGATGGGGAAACGGAAAGAAAACCAGAACATCTGGGCTTAAGGGGTGATTGAGGGGAAGGTGAGGCAACTAAGGAAAGAGAACAAGACTGGAGTGTGGCAAGCGCTTGGGGCAGGGAGGAGAGGTCTCCCACAACGACACGAATTCTTTAGGCACGTGGCTCCAAGTGGGTTAAAATGCCACAAGGGTGGCCCCGTTGTAAGCCCCTGAATCCCAGGTGAGCCCAGGAAGCTGGCACTGCCCGCTGGCACCAGCCACCCTCCTTTCCTAGGCGAGGCGTTCTGCTCTCCTTTGCCCCCTGGTGGCCATCACCAGCGTACCCGCAGTGACGCCTGGGGTCAGGTGTGTGCAGTAAAGTGTGTGTGTGTGGGGGGTGTCAGGCAAGCTGCTGCGGCGTCCGCGTCCTGCCCATCCCCAGTCCTGCCGCCCAGAACCTACTCGCCAAACGCCTGGGTCACCCGGGCTTCGCACCTGGCTTATACTGCCCTGCTTTCAGATCCCGAGGACCACACCTGGGGGGAAGAAGCTGGATTATAAGGTTACTACTCCCCAATCCCGGGCCTCAGGGCAGAACTCCCTTCATTTCGAAAAGGAGGGACTCAGCAAGGCGCTGACCTCCTTTAAGGGGACCCTCGCCCATAGGGTCCCAACCCTCAAGTTACAGGGGACAGCAGACACAGTCAAACCTCCTCCCTGATAGTGCAGTGATTGTCCCAAGAGCGTCCGCTCCGCCCCAGCTCGCTCCATGTAATGGCACGCCCATCTGCACACGCTGTCCAAGGCTGGAGGCCATTCCTTGTCCCACCACCCCATCAGTCCAGTAGCCCAAAGTAGGGAACCCATCAGCGGGGGACCGGCGCATGTGTCCGGGTCACAGGAGGCCGTTCCGTGGAGTGGCCTCTAGCCCACACCTCTGCCTTCCACCCTAGAGGAAACCGAGTGACTGGCAGGAGTGGAGGCAGCCACAGCCCCGGAGGGCACCGGTGTGCGGAGGCTACACCGCAGGCGCCACGGGTTCTCCCACTAGACGGCGCGGTGTCCGTCAGGGTCACCCTCTGTCTCTGCGCTCAACGCCCAGGTCCCGATCCCGGGGTGGCGGCAGACCCAGCCCACCCCCGCGGCTGCCCCGCAGCCCCGAGCACCACTTGGGAGACCATAGCGGCTTTGCCAGGACTAGCTTGCTCCCCGGATTCGCGACGAGGTCCGCCTCCTCCCTCCCCTTCCCGCGCCGCCTCCGCCTCCTTCCTCTGCCTCCACCCTCACCCGTTCCCGTCGGTGCGGAGCTGGGCTCCAAGCAGCGCTCAGCCCGCCTCAGCTTGGATGTGGGCTCGGGACAAGTGCTCCGCGCCACCGTTCGAGATGGACAGCCGCTACACCAGCGCAGCGGGCATCGGGGACTTGAACCAGCTGAGTGCGGCCATCCCGGCCACACGCGTGGAGGTGTCAGTGTCCTGCAGGTGAGGACGCGGCTCGTTTCTCTTCCTTTCGCCCGGGGCTTGGTGGCACTTGGCTAGCGCTCCCTGGACCACGAGGCTTGGCGCCGGTGAGAAGTTGCTCGATGAGTGGGGACACCCCAGTTGTGAGACTGACGCTACCCCCATCCCCTCCCCGTTCAAGTGACACAGAGTTGGGGGCTAGAGTGGTGGGTTTTGGGACTGAGTCTTTTTTTGTTTTCTTTCTGAGAAATGCAGTGAAAGTTGTCAGAGCTGTGACTCAGCTACAGGAACCCCAGCCGCCGCCCACTTTACAACCTAAAAAAACAAAAACAAAAAAACAAAAAGCCGAAATCAGGGCCAGAGGTTTCAGTGATGACGGGAACTGAAGGGTCAGCATTGCCAAAAGCGCGCGTGACTGCTGCGCACATTGGCCTGAGACTCCAGGCGCCCGGTGGGATCCGCTCCAGTTCGGCAGCTTCCTCCTCTCCACCCACTTCCTGGAACCATCCAACTTCCTCACCCTACACCCTTCCGGGATGTTTGCCCTAAGACTGTAGCGGTTCCAGGTTCAGTGTTCCTGGCAGAGGCTTACCTAAGAACTGAGAAGTCACGACTGATTTTCTGCAAGCCATTAGATAAACATGAGAATGCTTGCAAGTCTCATCTCCAGGATTGCCCGTTTCAGACCCCCTTTCCTGATGCTCAGTGGACCAGATCCTTTGTAAGTCAAGTAGAGAAGCTGTGCACTGCCCCACTTTTGGAGAATTAAGTGGTCGGCTATATTAAGGATTCTAGAGTTATTGTATACACCCAGGTACCCACTCCTCGTTCGAATACTTCCACCTTTCTCGGAGGAAAACTCCACACATACCCTGTGTTCGTAAATGCACTCAAATGTTCTCAACCTTTCTGTCTTAAGCGACTCTAATCAGCAAGGGTGATTTTTGTTGTAAATAAACCCTGAAGTTTAAATGCCTTCAGCCTCTAAAACAGTGGTTCTCAACCTTCCTAATGCTACAACCCTTTAATACAGTTCCTTAAGTTGTGGTGACCCTCGCAACCATAAAATTATTTCATTGCTACTTCATAACTGTAATTATGCTACTGTTGGGAATTGTAATGTAAATATTTGTGTTTTCCGATGGCCTTAGGTGACCCTTGTGAAAGGGTTGGCTGGACTCTCAATTGGGTCGCGACCCACAGGTTGAGAATCACTGCTCCAAAGCTAAAGTATCTTGAACATTTACATTTCAAGAGAGAGACAGAGACAGAGACAGAGACAGAGAACAGAGAGAGAGACAGAGAGAGAGACAGAGAGAGAGAGAGAGAGAGAGAGAGAGGAGAGAGAGAGAGAGAGAGAGAGAGAGAGAGAGAGAGAGAGAGAGAGAGAGAGAGAGAGAGAGAGAGAGAGAGAGAGAGAGAGAGAGAGAGAGAGAGAGAGAGAGAGAGAGAGAGAGAGAGAGAGAGAGAGAGAGAGAGGACAATTTGGCTAGTCTTGAGGATGACTGACCTCAGACTGTGAAAGTGATAATGGTGTTTGTGACAGCTGACACAACCCTTGGCTTATTAGGGTCACCCTCTTTTTAGTGTTCCACTGGACTCCTTTTAGTTAACAGCCACCTGGCAGACTCTTGTGGCAATTCCTAGGTGCTATTGTTCTCTCTGAAGATGGCTTTGGGATTTAGAAGGAGGTTTTTGCTACTTACCACAGTAACACAGTGGGTTGTCAGGAACTCTCCCAGATCAGCATTTTCTAGGGTTCCCTCATCTGTTCATCCTTCTGCAGGGTTGGGAGGGCACTAAGCAGACAGAACGTTGCACACCAATTGTGAGAGTCCTGCAGGTCCTCAGGGTGACATGGAACAGCACTCACCTGCTGGGCCAGCCATCCCCAGGCTTATTTGCTGTAGGCATAAGCTGAGGAAGGGCCCGCAGTGCATTGGCCACCCCAGTCTGTTTCAGTTTCCTGTTCCAGATCCTGGAGACTGTCTTCTCTATGGGATTACTCTTTAGCACTTAAAAAAAGTTTCAAATAAGAAAAAAAAATCTGAAAGAGAAGCAAGTACTTAGAGTTAAATATTTCTGTTTAGGCTGTTCAGGCCTCCTCTATTATTTGAGTTGTCCACAATCAGTCAATTGTTTACTTCTTGCTAAGTAATCAAATTAAGACAGGTTAATTTCCCTTGTGTGGTGTTGAGAACTCTGCCTTGCCACCTTGGGAGGTGTTATGATTTGAACTTCAGCATCAGTCCTGGGTGCAAATTCTGGCTTCGTGACTCAATTTAATTGCCTACGAATTAATTGGTTCTTATTTAGTTTGTCCAGGCGTGTTCGTATTTGATAATAAAGATAACTGTGACATTTTCTGTAGAGCATTATGAGGGTTTTATGGGTGGAACTCAAGCAAGGCTGGAACCTGGAGGCAGGAGCTGATGCAGAGGCCATGGAAGGATGCTGCTTACTGGCTTGCTCCCCATGACTTGCTCATCCTGCTTTCTTATAGAACCCAGGACCACCAGCCCAGGGACAGCACTTCTCACAATGGGCTGCCCACGCCCACGACTCACTAATTAAGAAAATGTCCTACAGGCCTGCCTACAGCTGGGTCTTATGGAGGCATTTTCTCAATTGAGGTTCTTTCCTCTCAGATAACTATATCTTGTACCAAGTTGACATAGACTAGCCAGTGCATGTAGAAAAACAGCACTTAGAGTTCTGCTAACAGGATTCTGTGACTCCTTTCTATTTGAACTTTAGTAAGCCAGGTAATGAAAACAGAGCTAGCTGTTCCCAGAGCACAGCTTTCCCAGGATACTTAGCAAGAAGATACAACTAAGCACCCCGCCCCCCAGCCTGGCTGTGGGTAAGCAGGGCAAGGACTTCCCTGGAGGCCTTGTCTGAGAGAGCTCTGATAGCTTCTGTTTCAAAATCAGCTTACAGTGGAACCCCTTTTGATAACCTATCTCTTCTGTCCCCCCTAATCAAAAGATCCCTTGCCACTTTGGGAAGGAGAGAAAGATAACAACACACACACACACACATATATACATATATATATATATATATATATCTTTCTATTGATCAAGTATCTGAGTGTCTTATGTATCTGAGTAGTACAGACAAGATGTCATCCCTGAAAACATGAAATGTGACTGGCAGATACACATTATAGAAGATGCTAACCTAGGATACAGCCTAGCAATAAGGCTTCTGCATCATCAGGGATAGGGCATCGTGGAGCTGAGGACTCAGCATGCATGACAGGAAGAAGGGGTGTGACTGATCAAGGCAGACACTGATGGTTGGAGATATGATAGCGTCAGTTTTAGTGGCTGGGAACTTGCTGTGTTAGTGAAGAAAACCATACTCTGGTCACCTAAAGGCGCAATTGCAATCTCTGGCTTGTCTTCTATTCATTGCCTTATTATTTGTGCATTCATTGTTTCTTTTTTTTGGTTTTTCGAGACAGGGTTTCTCTGTATTGCTTTGAAGGTTGTCCTGGAACTAGCTCTGTAGACCAGGCTGGCCTCAAACTCACAGAGATCCTCCTGCCTCTGCCTCCCGAGTGCTGGGATTAAAGGCGTGCGCCACCAACGCCCGGCTATCATTGTTTCTTTATTAAAATTAGTCTGTAGATTTTTAAAAACTTATGTTCCCCAATTAACTGAACTTTCCCATAACTGAAATGGCACAGCTTTAGCCAAGTTTCCAATTTTATTCTGAAAACACGTCAATGTAAACTGACGCTAAAGTTAATGGGAAAAAATAATTTACAGAAATGAATCACTTTCCCCAGAGCCTGTGTTTCCCTATTTTAGTATTTCAGTGATTTTTTTTGTCATCTTCTGTGATGGAGAGGTTTTTTAGCAGTCAGAACATGGAGTGCTTCTGGTCTCCCCAAGCTAGCTCTCAGGTGCTGAGCCGGTCAATCACTCCTGGAACGTGGAAGGAAGTTCAAATGTTTTTGAATGTGTGCGGCTTAGTAAGAATTCTAAACGCTGGGCCTGATGTAGTGTTCTTGTCTTGTCTGGCACGAATTCTCCCATGAGCTGTCTGAATGTAGTGCGACAAATAGGTGCTTACTGTCTGTCAAGACACCTGGCAAGTAAATATGGCAACCAAATCTGATCCAGAGATACAGCTCCAAAGTAAACTGGGTTAGCACCCTGGTCCAGGCCAGTGTGGACCTGCCATGTTGTTCTCTGACTTCAACCTCCCTGCCTTTATTCACTCCCTCTTCTTGATTAGATTTTTACCTGTTTTCAAGTCTTGGGTCAGATGTCATCTTCTCTCATGACCCCTTTCTTAAACTGGAGTTTACTTTACTCCTCAAACAGCTGGTACGCACCACTATCAGGCAGGTATATTGTAATTCCTGGGCACAATGAAGGGCCATTGTGACTCTTTCATGATGATGCAATGCTGAATGAAATCATCTGGTGCTTGAGAAGTGGAGACGGTTCCTGTTATAGATTCCTGGGTTCCCGAGCAGATCTACTGAGATGAAATGCCTGGGAATGTGATGTTGGACTCTACTTCTACAGGTTCACACAGTTATGATGCTGGTTATACACATGGTTATGTCCTGGTTATGTCACATGGTTATGATAGTGGTTATGTGCACAGTTATGATGCTGAATATGTACTGAAAACCTGGAGGTTTGATGATCTAATGACTCTGACTAAGCAGAGATTCTAGCATTTTGATTGCAACTGATTTTTTATGCTAGAATCTATCCAACATCTCTACAGACTTTGGGAAATGGAAGCACAATCAATTTAAGTCTTAGTGAGTATGCCTCTTAAATTAGAAAGTTCTGTTAGAGAATTTAAAGATTTTTGAGAGAATTTCAAAGTACATTACTTAAAAGATGATTGGTTCTCAAGTCAAGTCTTGGAGTTAAGTAAGGTCAATTTCTTTGCTTTATTTGGAGCATTTTGTTGTGGGCATGTCACTTGTGAAGTTTATTGCTTCCTTGTGGAGGGAATCCCTGCTCCTGAGCTTCTCATCTTTCTCTGACACTATTTCTGTGACCTTTGACAAATCCTTGTAGTAATGAATTGAAATGAAATAGAAGGAAATCTCACAATTGACATTTGCAAAATAGCTAAGTCACAATTTATGTCTCATAAAACAAAGAATAGTTTTAAGTAGACAATTCTATTGGTATTGTACAATGATATTAATATATTTTTAAATAATGTAATCTAACACATGTATGGAAACAATGAGATATAGTATTATTCGATGAAGCTATTTATCTTGAAGGGGTCTCTGGTTTCTACTTTAGTTTAGATAGAACTTTTTATTTTATGACCACTTTTATTTTATATGTGGCTAACTAATTGAGGCTGACCTGAAACTTCTGATCTTCCTGCCTCAGTTCTGAATGGTGGGATTATAAACATGAAACATCAGACCTGACCTGAATTTATTTTCAATAGCAGTGAAGAAGAGATGGTTGGGAAAAGTATAGTACTAACATATATTTATAAACTGTGATTTCTCCCTGTTCAGTACAACTTTGTTGATATAACACATATTGCTATCTAGATGGTCTTACCTAATTCTAGTGTCTGAGATTTTAAATTATTATTGTTGTTGTTGTTATTGGTGTATGAGGGGCATGAGTATTCCATGGCACATGTGTGGAAGTTAGAGGACACTTTGTGGATGTAGCTCTTCTTTTTCTACTGTGGGTTCTGTGGCAAGTGCTTTTACCTGCTAAGCTTTCCTAGCATCCCTGTCTTGAGAATTTTCTGGAAGAATCTTATGGTAGGTTATTTCTAGAATCAAGTTCTTGCTATTTCAAAGTCCTTATTTTACTCAACCTTCTCCCCCCAAAATGCTAAGTTGTGCTGTGGCTGATGTAGATTTTCCTCTCAACAGGAATCTAGCTGGTTTTGCGCATCTTCGAAATGAACAATGTTCTATATTAATAAATAGTCATGCTTTTCCCACAGTTTACTTCTGAATATGCCTGTAATATTTCTGGCAAATAGAGCTTCCCGTGGAGATGGCAAATAGATTCAATCTCATGTGCTAACCCTGCTCACTTGTTACTGAGTGCTGCCTGGGATTGTGTCAGGAAGGACTCAGAGGGGACCAACTATTTGTGGGAAATAGTTGTCTTTAGAAATGAAGTGAATCAATGCTATCTGGTGTGCATACTGTTACTTCTCTGTCTTCCGGTCCTTCACATGCTGTGTTTCATAAGCCTTACAAACAGTTTGGGTACATTATTTTTAATTAGCTTACCATGCATTGGGACCCCAGGGTCTGTTACCTCCTCTCTATTTCTACTTCTATCACTCTTACTCAGGACGAAGTCATTTGCTTTCTGCATTGGGCATGGTAGGGCAACATGTGGGTAGCTGAGCCTGGAGGATGACTAGTTTTGTTGAATGATGACCAGCCATCCCCTTCCTGTCTCCTTTGGATTTAAAGACTCCAGCTTCCTGAGTGCCTGGAAAATTTGCCCTGTGGCTGGCTGTAAAGGCTAACTTTACATATAGTTGTCTATGGTGTTTAGGTAGGTCCACAGAGGGTGGTGATCAATCGTGCCTTTCTTTGAGTTCTCATATTACTTTACATTTTATTGTTTGGATATTTCTCTATAGCCAATTTTAAAAGCACTTTTTTTACCATTGATTACTATAAAATCTGACTTTGTGCTTTGTGTGTAGACATTTTCAATACAGTAGATCTTTGCTGCTTGATGGATAGGTTGGAGAATTGAGCTTACATGCCTGTGATTTAATTACTCTTCTAATCTTAAAATGTTACTATAAACAGTAAAGATATGAATGAAAACAAACCCATTTTACCAGTATAATTTAATGAAAGAATAATTTTCATCCAGTTAACATAACATTTTACAGTAATTTTTATGTGAAGGTACAAAAACATAATTTTGGTTACATTGTCTCTAAGAACAACACAATTAGAAGTGGACACTATTTCCACATACTGACAGATGATTTGCTTATTTAATTGGGAATGAATGTTGAGCAAAAATAGACAATCAATAGAACTTGCAGGTGGGCTGGGCAGATGACTCCTTTGGTAAAATGCTAAATGCTGTGGTGTATCTATTGGGAAAGTTGACAGGAGAGTTCCTCAAGGACCCTGGCCTGGAGTCTACTGACTAAGAAAGCTTCAACTTCAGTGGTAGTCTCCATTTCAGAATGCAAGGTATAACATTCCTTAGGAATATTCCTGATGTGGACCTCTGACTTCTACACACACACACACACACACACACACACACACACACACACACACACACACTCACAGACACATATACATACACATGCACACATACTTTCACACACACACACACTCTGACACACACACAAATGAAATTGTATGTGTGATATCCTATTTAATGTATCTAAATAGGAAAACAAATGAACATGTGTTAATCTTTGGCTCAGGTTGGATTTTGTATTGAATATTTCTACTAATTTACTTGGTGAACCAATGAAGGGAGAGACTCATGGTGTTTCAAAGGTATATGGCTAGTCTCTTGAGGGAGAAATTGGTTAATGCACTTTCTTACAGACTTTGTTTAATCAATTTTTTGTTCATTCGATTTTAATTTTGTTCAATCAGTTTTTCAATATTTATTCAATCAATTTTAATTTTGTGCCACAAAAGTGCAAATAAAAGTTTTTGAAAAGTCAAAAGTCACAACAACATAAAGCCTCAGGAATAGAACCATAGAAGGAAACAGTTTCTAGACATGAACAAAAAGAACCAACCCGGTCTCTATGTAGGCTATTTATGATATTTATGTATGATATCTATGCTAAAATAAGCAGACTTCCTTGTGAATCCACTGTCTATAGTTTATGCCACTTCCTCTATTTGACTGGCTATGACACTTTGATGAGTCTATGAAACACCCCAAGTGCTTCTGACACAGAAGTGTCTGAATGCTCCATTGATTATATTTACCTCAAATTCTTGTTGTGCTTGATTGTATGAGATCTTTTCAAAGGCAAAGGCCTCATTAATCATTGTCACTATAAATTCAGGAACAACCAAAACTTCACATCACTTTTCTTCAATGAGGGCGGTGCATGGGTGTCTAGTTTTGTTCGTGAGGACATGCCCAGTGTCTCCTGTGCAGAGGGAATGCTGTGATTTTTAACCATGCAATTATTGTGTGCTTGTATCATTTACTTCTCATTTGGGGAAAATGTTCTAAACCTGCTGTTTTTAACAGAATTGCCAGCAGCATTTCCTCAGAGATTTTTCCAGGCCTAGGGCCCACTAGGAAATGCTAGTTTATGTCTTCATAGGGGACTAAGTCCTTTCCATTTTTTTTACATCCTCAGTGCATTAGTACAATTTCTGTCATTTGACATTTAAGCCCTCACCTCCTGCTACTTCTGCTTCCATAGCTACCGTTTAACATGGCTGACTACGATGCTGATTAGGTCCAGGCTAGTGTGACCACAGTACAAGTGTTACTGGAGTTTTAGGCATGAGTCTGGCTCTGGCAATCCTAACAAACCAGGCTCAGCTACCCACTCAACATGCCAGTTTAGAGAGATGAGCAATACTGTAAAGCTGAGAAAAGTGATGTGTTAAGCATGGCTGTATCAGTGAGGGAACACATGAAGACTCCAGTGACCACCCTCCCCCCCACACACGCACGCACGCACGCACGCACGCGCACACACACACACACACACACACACACACACACACACACACACACACACAGTCCTGCCCCAGATCTATCTTTGGGGTCCTGATGAGGTTGAGGATCAATACAAAGCATGAGATAGGCTTAACTAAGTAGTCCTCATCAAACTGTGGTCTGCCCATCATTGATTCATCTGAGCAGTGCGAAATCTTCTCCTGGGAGGTAGGAAAGGGTTGTGGAATATTATTTTAAGATACATCACATTTGTTTATGCTGTGGAACATTCGTTTAATGATGTGAAGATTGATTGCATTCTTTTATGTTGCATTTGTTCGACTCTGAAGCTGTGTTACTTTGCCTGTCTAAAACACATGATTAGTCTAATAAGAGCTGAATGGCCAATAGCAAGGCAAGAGAAAGGATGGGGGGTGGGGGGACAGGCAGGAAGAGAGAATAAATAGAAGGAGAAAAAGAGAGAGAAAAGGATCCAGGAACAAGAGAAGAGAGGAGGGAGAAAAAGAAGAGACGAATTACCCAGACACTGAAGGAAAGAAAGATGTACAGAAGTAAAGAGAGGTAAAAGCCCAGAGGCAAAAAGTAGACAGACTAATTTAAGTGAAGAAAAGCTGACTAGAAATCAGCCAATGTAGGCTGGGCATGCATAAGTAAGACAAAAAAATCTCCTGTGTGATTTATTTGGGAGCTGAGTGGTGGGTCTCCCAAAGAGTCAAAAGAGTAAAGTGGAGGTGGGGGTG